TGGTCTTGCCTCTGCTAAAGAAAAAAAAAAAAAAAAAAAGGAAAAAAAGAAGAGAAAAAAAGGATTTAAAGGAGTAGAATACAAGATTGCATAGTCGTAACCAGTAGTTACAGAATTCGATTTTAAAATAAGGTATAGAAAAAAAAAATCTAAGAATATCTAATAGGCATATCAAAATTAGCATTAAAAAAAAAAGTCACCAAACCATAATGGGGAATTAATGAACTTGACAATTGCATTCTCAGGAAACCAAGAAAACTGACTACAGAAATTGGGTAATTAGGAACAAGGTTTACATTTAAGCATAACAATGATCCCTTGATGACTTTGGAATACCTAGTTACAATGGAGTGCCAGCACATATTCTAGATGTGTATGAGGTAGGAAAGTAACTATGTATTCAGGGGATATTTTGAGTACCTAAAGGTACAGAACATCTGTCCTTATTTAGAGAACTTGGTAGCAAAAATATAGTCTATATTGCTATAATACTAGCATAACAATAACAGTTCACCCAAGGTTCATAGAGGGGTCCACAAAGGGAAAAAGCAAAAGCCAGGAGAGTATTCTGCTAGTGATGGACTTTAAAGATAACAATGAATGCACATCACTTTGCAGTTCCAAATTTAGAAGTATCAATGAAATCAAGCATTCAATACACACACATTTTTGGAACTCAAAACATGAAGTCAATAAATAGCTATTATGGTTGTGGATTATCAGTTCATTCATTTATTCAACAAATATTTCCTGGGTGCCTATTATATTATGATCCCATAGTAGGTTACAGAATACAAATATAATCAGTTTGTCTCCTGGGGCAGGGAAAGAGACACACACAGAGGATTACAAAACAAGGTGATGAATAACATAACAGAAACATGCACAGAACTATGAGAGCAGATAACATGAGTTCTCTAGAGCAAGTGGTAAGTACATCCCAAAACGTAAGTAATACTACCGGTGGATCAGGGGTGAAGCACACTCTAGGAATCAGCACGCGTGTAGGAATGGATAGCTTAAAACATTTTGGAAAGGCAGGTAGCTCAGCACCGTTGCAGATTAGTATGGGAGGGGGGCAGAAGATAAGAAAAATGCTAGCTCACAAAGGGGGCTGTGTGCTGCTAAGAGTTTAGATGTTTAGCCTGTAACTAATGGAGTGCAGTTGAAATATTTTTGAGAAGAATGACAGGCTCGGATTTGTGCTGGGGAGAGATTATTTTGGCAGCACTGTGCAAGTGGGAATGGAATTTAGGGCCTAAGAAGTACAGCATATCTATGGGTCTCAATTTTTCAGTTTGGGAAAAACTTTAACAAAATATCCTGTGGAACATTTCATCCAGTTCTCCAGCTTTACTACCTTAAAAAATCATGACCTGAAACTTAAGTAAGCAGAAGTCACCTCTCCCCAACACACACACACATGCTTGCTTCACATCAACATGATGATGTGAGCTTCTAATAAAATATTCCATTCCTTCTATCAAATTATTAAATACCATTAGCTATAGATACTACCAACATTCCCTTAAAACCCATAAATACTGTAGCCCAGATTACCTGGAGGACCTTGTAAATTGCCTATGATCCCTTTATCACACTTTGATAACCACTGACATACAAACAGAGAGAAGGAAGTCAATGGGTCATTGAAACGTAAGTGAAAGTTAATCAAACAAGCGAAATTGACAAAGTCGACCTTGGGAAATAGTAAGTGGAGTTGTTATTTATGAAACGAACAGGTACAGAAAGAAGAGGCAGAGTCTCTAACGTAGCAGAGCTGTCAACGAGTCTGTGTAGTTAGGAGCTAAAGAATGGCCAGTCTTGTATGAAACGGCCGGTAGACGGAGCGCCTGTGACAACTAGTTGTAGTAGTTTGCGGGCAAGAGAGGAAAAGGACCAGGGTAAAAAGAGGGTGTAGGGCATCCTGGGGGTGATTCCACCCGCCGCAAACAGGAGACAATGAGAAAGATCGAGGCACATTTCAGAGCCGAGGAGAGGTAGGAGGGTGTGGAGCCGGGAGCGGAGACTGGGTTCCCGGGCTGGTGGCGGGAAGTTAGCGGATGAGGAAGAGGCACCCCAGGGATGACTAGAGTTTGCAGGGGCAGTGGAAGCCCAGGGGCGTCGGAGGCTGAGGAGGGAGCAGATCTCAGGGCGGAGTGCAGGACGCAGACCGCGGGGACGCCGAAAGAGGGACGGGGAGACCGGAGGTGTCACTCGTGACTTGCCGGGGCAGCCCTCCCGCACCCAGCCCGGTACTCACAGAGCTCAGAGTACCGATGGCAGCCCCGGCCCAGCTGCTGCAGATAGCGCTGCAGCACGTCGGTGAGGAGGTGGCAGGCGCTGAGCTGCACCGAGTCCCAGCCCAGCGCCTGGCAGATCTGCGCCACCGAGACCCTCAACAACGACCTGGAGTAACTCTCGCACATCCCGCTGCGTGGACGCCACCGCAGCCCTTGCTGCCACCTCTCTCCGGCCCCGCCGCCTGACCTTAGCAGAGCCCCCGATTCATCCTCAGGGGCCCCCGCGGCGGGGAAATCGTCCCCTGGACCCCGGGCGACCACCTCAAAGCCCCAGCAGCAAGGAGCGCGCCTGCCTGAGAGCCGCCATTTTGGACTCGCTCCGCCTCCCGCTGGACGGCCGCCGGGGCGAGGCAGCACGAGACGAAAGCCGATCGCGCCGATGAGAAAGCTCCGCCCCGTGGGAGCACAGCGACTGTCTCGGTATCGCCCGGCAGGCCTGGAAGGCGGCCGGAAGCGGCCATGCGCAGCGCCGGTGAAGGGTGCGCCCGGGACTGCAGGTGCTGGGGCCTTCTCGGGGAGCGCCCACCTGGGGAGGAGGGAGGGGAGGGCGTCTCTGCTTTACGGGCAAACGAGGGAGCTGGGATATGACATTGAAATGTTAGAGAGTTAACGTTAATAATGTCAATAATGTGGAGCGTTAAGTGTTAGAAGTTTGGGATGCTCCCCAAAATGCGGATCTGATCTGGTCTTGCCTCTGCTAAAGAAAAAAAAAAAAAAGGGAGCTGCTTGCCACTGTGTAGATTAAATAATGTCCAAGCTGTTCAGCATGTCATTCGAAGTCCTTCACAATAGGGCCGGGAGTAGGGCGAGGCCT